AATATTTTAAATGTTAATTATTGTAATATTTTAATATTTAATAAAAACATCATTTAATATTTTAAATGTTAATTATTGTAATATTTTAATATTTAATAAGAATTTATTGTGATTAGACGGACAAGATTTAGAGTTATTTTTCACCGCGATTTACAGAAGTTGATGCAAATGGAAAACTGAAATTCACGATTGGTAAAACCGCGGTCGAGGACCATAAGTGCGAACGGGGCAGTTCAATAACACGTGATCTCACTTCACTTCTTTTACAACAGACAACGTGACACAAAAATTTGTACAGGCATACCTCGATTTATTGCGCTTCACAGATATTGCGCTTTTTCCCCCAAATTGAAGGTTTGTGGCAACCGTGCGTCGAGGAAGTCTATCGGCGCCATTTTTCCAACAGCACGCGCTCACTTCGTGTCTCTGTGTCACATTTTGATAATTCTCGCAATGTTTCTTTAGACATAATTCTATTGCACGCTTAACAGACTACAGTATAGAGTAAACATAACTTTTATATGCACTTGGAAACCAAAGAATTCGTATGATTCGCTTTATTGCGGTGGTCTGGAACCCCGCAATATCTCCGAGGTATGCCTCTATATATTTTGAGGCGTAAATAAGGACACAAATTATGGTTCAAAATTACTTTGATTACAACTAAAAACAACAGGTTCATTTCCACGTGTCATTTACGTATTTTACCAATCGGTAAATTAAATTTTCTGACAATTTCATATACGCATTCACAGACGTTATGTTGCCAAAAAATTTTATCAGTTGTTCAACTTATATGTAGGAATGTAGAGGTTCTATTACCAATATCAAGACTTAACTGTCTAGGCTGTAGATATCGTAATTAATTAAATTCACGTAAGCACTCGGAAAACGGTGTTCCAGATTCCACAAAAGTATTGTCTTTGGAAGACATTTTCTTTCAGTGCGTAATTTTGTAAGCATATTTCCCTTCAACTCCCCGTACAAGTCTACCTAATGCGCGTATACAAAAATGGAGTCCGCTGAAGGAGATGTCTTTTGTCACAATTCGAAACAGAATTCTGGAAACATCAATTTGTATTCTTATTTGTTTATTATTTTTACAACATTAAAAAAAGGAAAGTTTGTGAAATTCAATGAAAACTTCTAACATATATATAACATGACGTCAACTGTTACTATGGAGACATTCCATTATATGAAAAATTACTTGAATGAATACCAATTATGATTCCACTCTACTTTGTGTTAAGGTAACTTTGAGGCAGATGACATATACGGTTTCATGCAGGCATCCTGGAAAAATAAAACAAAATAAATTGATTCGACTTAAATGACGCCCACCTACCACAATACTCTGAAATATTAAAATATTTATTTAACAAACTCAATAAATAACATAGAGAGAATATTTTTGTAATGATTTCTCGTGAAATTCTTATACAAAAGACAATTTTAACAAACGAACTAACTCAATCGTAAGTCTTGCACGTGAGTCAGTGTAGAGAAGTTGACAACCGATCACTCGTCTATATAATTCTGTTACGTGCCCACATCCTCCTTTCAGATCATATTAATAATGCAGACGGAGAGTATACGAGATTATGAAATCGTTTTTGCTGTGATTATTTCGAAAGAATAGAAATCTTTAATCAGTGTCCAATTCGTTTGTTTTACGTAAAATGTTACTTTGCTGTTTTCGGTAAAAAGAAATCTCATTTATTTCACAGTAAGGAGTATCGCGTACCGTATGCACTAGCGTACGTCACTTCCAGCGTGGTGTGGCACTGTAACGTGTCTCTTGAACGACTGAAGACAGGCGGAACTGCGACTGTGCGCTGGATGAACGAATTTACCAACTGGTGTTTTAACAAAACTGTCAGAAGCTCAGATTAAACAACATCGAGTGACAAGGTAATAATTAAATTGGAAAGTATGTGAAAGCAAACAGTAGTAGCATCATTTATGATACTATCACCGTATGGCCGAACCTCTGTCGATGATGACGAGCGTTCTGGACGACCATCTTCGAGCACAACGCCCGAAAATGTTACGAAGATCGACGTCGTACCATCAACGACTTGTGCGACATTGTTGGGATAGGCTATGGGACCTGTCAGCTGATTCTAAAGGAAGAACTCCACATGCGACGCATCAAGACAACGCGCCAGCGCACACCGCCCTCAAAGTTCGGCAGTTTTTGGCCTCAAACACCATGGCCGTCATCCCGCAACCTCCTTAGCTCCGTGTGACTTCTTCCTCTTCCCAAAGATGAAAATTCAGCTAAAGGGAAGGAGATATGAGACGATAGAAGAGATTCAGGCAGAATCGCAGATGGTGCTGGACAGGCTGACAAAGAAAGATTTCCAGGCTTGGCAGCGGCGCTGGGATCGTTGTGTTCACTCCCAGGGGAACTACTTCGAGGGTGATGGATAAATTTAATATCTGAGATAAGTGTACGGGTTTTTACAGGCGCAGTCTGGAAACTTTCCGATCGCACCTCGTATCTGCCTGGAAAGACTGAGAAAAACCTTGGAAATCTAATCAGAACAACCGGTCTCCTGACCGAGATTTGAACCAAGGACGTCCAAGCTACGAAGCAGGTATACTAGCTGTTCGACTGTGACCGAGTTAATTAACAAAACGTGTAACTGTTTGCTGAATTAAGTCTTCACGTGGTAATCTGTTTCGTAACCTTAAATCCACTGATGATACGCGAATTAGAAAAGTCGAAATATTATCTGTGTTCCGCTAAATACGCAACACATAAAAAACGTGTTCATAAACACACGACGTAGATCACATATCGATAATGTAAGATGGCCGGTTTGTAAGGTTATGTTTTCTATCAGTCTGGAGCGCCTTACTATCTGGTAGAAGTTTACCAACGGTAAAGAATTAACTGCTGCCTCCATCATCAGGGCGATAAGTACATTTCCACCTGAACACAATGAACTACACCTCAGAAGGCAGCCATCTTAGTAACTTATCACCGTGAGAACCTCAAGTCCTACGTTCTGTGATTAAGTTCTATGAAGTAAGACTTAACAGTGGACCAACATGCAGGCCCATAAGAATAAATTCCCTTTCGAAACTTCCGGTGAAAGCACAATGTTAAATTTTGCCGATATCTGTTAAGTAATTCCGGACGACCAAACAAACACCCCCTCCTGCCAGGGTGTCGTTCCTAATACAGAGCAAACATGAGATACTAAGGAAACAAATATTCTTATGACTGCGTAGCCCCATGGAGCAGAATGTCTACAGAGAAGCTGATAACTGATTAAGAAATTGTTTCCTTCTTGTGGAACCTGAAAGTTCGCTGCTGTCCAGAGACAGTTCAATCCAGAAGACACCCTCGTATTTTATTTGCGTTAAGATCCACGAAACATCACCCTGTCATCGAGGTCTGTTTATCCAGAATGGTCTTTTTACGAGGCGCGTCCACAAAGTAAGTTTCCCACTCGTCCCACAGCTAGCAAACCTTATATTGCGCGAAGCGACTGTGCGTACGTGATAGAGCAATGACGTAGCATGGCGCATGCACTAACGGTACTTCCCGCGTTCTCACAGTAGCATCGTTGAAGATGGAGTTTCTTATTCCAGCTCCCGCCGACTGTGAAGTGCGGCCAGTGATAACGCTAGGCCGCACAGGCGGAGATGGTTGTCACACAGTGGTTCCAATCCCAGGCGGCCGACTTCTACGACACAGGTATTCAAAAGTTGGTCCCACGGTATGACCAATGTCTCAATTCCGGTGGCGAATATGTTGAAAAATAGCTGGACACTTGCTGTATCTGTTGCAATAAATATTTCCATGAAATTGTGTTTTGTTTCTGTAAACGGCCCCCGGGAAACTTACTTTGTGGACGAGCCTCGTACATCTGACGTTTGTCATAAAATCTGTATACATTTCTCGTGTCTCACATTTGAACTATACAAATCTCGTCAATTCCCCCCCTTCTCCCTTATTTAATTCGATCAATGTAATCGGCCTAATATTTAGTGAAAAGCACAAATGATGTGACTCCTCATTATATAATTCTTTCTGTTAGGTCCAAATACAATCCCCTTTTTACTCTCGGAGTAACAGTCGCTGTATGACAGGTGGGCCACTTACAGCGTCGTGGAACTGAATGATATTCGTGCTCCCTTATCCGTATACAAAATGTGCAGATATCCAATTACCGTCTGGTAAGTGGAGACGATACATCTACTGTAAGCGGATTCCATCTTTTCTCTAAGAGGCTTCAACACAGTTTCCGAATGTCCCTACAAACTAATGGTATTTAATCAGATTATGCAACATAGCAACACAATTGCAAATATTCGTGACAACAAAATCATACCTGATACAGAAACGATATTGTTATTTCAGAAATAACCTATTGCAGTCCGTCCCACTTACTAACAATCTTCTTAAGACTTTTAAACTTAACATTACTGAGTCACATTAAACGAGATGTGTCTACAAGAAATGTGCTGCCTAATCGATCTGATGATGGAGGCAGTAAGAACCTCTGAAACGTCGGCAAAACTTCTACCAGAAGACCATCTTCAGACTCACGTAGAATCTATCGGTAGGAAGTCGGATGATAAATCCAGTCCTCAACGTCCAATATTATTCTTTTGAGTCCGTTTTAATATTATCGGCGAG